CTAGCAGCACCGTTCGCCCAGCAGGCAGCAGGTGGTGCTACGTACCAGAGAGCAGCAGAGAGAAAAATTCGGGCAGCACCGCCCTGCCTTACAAAACTACTCTTACCAAGACGTTTTCTAACTCGTAAACCTGAAGTTGGGCCTGCCATCCTGCAAAGGGCTCCTTGCAAGAATTGAGGGAAAAAGTCTAAAAGCTTGGCGCTCTGCTCCTCATCACTGACATTCATAAGGCAGGGAGAAAGTGATAATCGCCCAGTGGAAAACGGTGGTTCACCAGGAAACTCCGGCATGTGAGTTGTTCCTGCCAAGCACGAGTAATCCCACTGAGGCACAGTTAGGGACTTGCTTAAGTTCCTACCTGAGTCAGGTACTTGCCCGTAACCAATATATATGCAAAACTCCCAGGAAGTAAAAGGACCAACTGAAATGCTGGTGTGTTCAGCACGGAGAGTTTTAGTCTCCCATTTTCCCTCTAGCTTGCTCTCCCATGAATCACACACGATGCTCCAGTTTCCCTGGAGCTACTGGTGACCGTGCAAGCTGCTAGTTAGCTCAAGTTGGGTTTGCAAGGCTGGCTCTGCTCTCATCAGAAAACCAAGCGCAGTGGTGAAGGACAAGCACAGAAACCCCCGTGGCAGTGGCAGCTCACCCACACTGCTGTTACAGGCTGGGGAAGTACGATCCTTCGGTATTACCCTTCAGCCAAGAGCCGTTCCTCCTCTTCTTCACCAGAAACGTCATTTGGGGAGTCTATGGAGCTCCTTACGGTGGAATTACCAAAGCACCTTCACGTATTTTGGGTAGAAAGGACCCGTGAGCCTGAGGACTCAAAGAGAAGGTCATGGAACTATTTCCCCGCAGCCCTCCTCAGTCAACAAATGGCATTTCAAGGGACAAGCCAGCCAAACAGGTCCGCAGATGCAAGGCTGGCCAAAGATTATTCCTTTTTAAACAAGTGGCTAAACTGAATAAGCTTTCTCAGACGGCCACTGAGCCAGTAGAAAAGGATATTATGCCACTGGAAGTGACTGCAGAGATCAAAGCTAGCTACTTACTCCATAACAAAGCTGAAGGAAAGGATTAGTCACCATTGAAAGCCACAGGAGCTGGCATTGGCAGAGAACCCGGCTAAATTGTTCAGAAACATCTAACAGCACACACCACATAACCCCAGGGGAAGAGGAGAAGGCAAAACCTTAACTTCAAATGAGATGCTTTGCTTTACTCTAAGACTAGAAGAAAAAAAAGTTAAAAAGGCACCTTTGACCAGATATGTGAGGTAGATGGACAAACCAGAAGATGCTGGAGTTGGGAGGAGGAGTGTGCTGGCAAGGGGCAGAAAATTGTCTTTATTGAGATTATAACCCAATTTACAGCCCCTGCTTAGTGCGATCTGCTCTTTCCTGGTCTGCTCCCATCTCCAGGGCATGACCCATAAGCTAAGCAACGTGGGTGAGAGAAAGCAGGTGCCAAGGAGGTAAGGGAAGCTGCTGAGCACGCAGTTTGCTTTCCTGGCATGGAGCACACTCCTGGGGGGCTTCAAGGAAGTTTCTGAAAGGGAAATGGATAATTTAATTGCTGCATTAGAGGAGCTGCAAGCTGCTCCAGAGCTTAATCTCCTCGTGCTTTACCCACCGAATGGAAGGCATACGTAGCACTTGGCTGCCTTCTGAAATCCAAATTAAATATATTAAAACCAACTGTCTTGAGGAAACTCTGGCTCTCCAAATCCAACACTTTCTGATAGGTTTTTTTGGAATTAAAAGCAGATCGGAAACAGGAAAAGTCTCCCCTGCCCCAACCCATGTCCTGCTCACGGCTGCACAGAATATGGCCAGGGAACTGGCTCAGGAGGACTTGAAGAGCTGCTACAACCAGACATAGGGTTTTGAAGCATCGAGACCATGCTCCCTGCAACACTCCAAGTTTGCAGAGGAAGCGTGTGTGAGCGCCCTACAGCAATCAGCAACCAGCAGCACATCAGTGCCTGAGCGCATGGAAAAGCTCAGCAGGATCTGCATCTACTTAGGTGCCTTTTATTACCATTTGCGTGGGCTGGATGAGTAGTTTACTGGGCGTTTTATTTCATTTGTTTCCCTTAACTTGTATTCGTGTGGATGAAAATGCTGTCAGGGAATTGCAAAGCAGAGAATGAGGCTCTCCTGTCATCGCTTGAACATTATTTAGAGCTCCTGAACGTGATGACACTGAAAGGGGAAGTTGGAAGTCTCTCACCAGAGATCAAGCCAGATCAACTCCTAAAGGACTCCCTCTTTATTCTGCTGCAGGAAACCTTTCCAAGATGAATGTGTGTGCAGATGGGTGCATGGGCGCCGCAGCCAAGTTTCCCCATCTCACTCCGACACTAGCACATCTTCCCACTGGTGCAGAGTGTAGATTGACTCCAAAACTCCTTTCCCTTGAGCTGGGAAAGAGCAGGAGCACTCACGAGCATGGTGCAAGCATTGCTGTGCCCAGCTCTCCAGCACTGGCAGCAAGGCTCTCTGCAGCAGGCGCTTCCCCCAGCGAAGAAGGATCTGAACCACTGGCGGTCAGAGGAGGGATCGGTGGTTTGGGTAGTTTTTAATTCCTTGTGTATATTGGGGCTTTGCCAACTGCCGCAGACAGCTGTCGGACAACCAAATCGCTAGCTGTAGAAACAGCGCAATGTCGACACTGCGGAAATGCTACGGAGAAGCATTCGGGAAGTTAAACGACGGCTGAGATGTTACTGCTGGCACCAGCACAGCCACGCTCTCCAGGTTCTTCTTTTGGGGAAAGGTCTAGTGATTAAGTGCTACTGAGACGAACACTTGCAGAAGCGAGTTTTAAAATTTGCACAAATAAGAATTCCCACTTAGAGCCATTTTTTTCCCCTGTGACACTATGTGAGGTGAGAGGGGAGTAATTTTCACAGCAGGTCCCGCCACGGCTCCAGCACAAAGGCATGTTAAATTAGAGGACAATCACACACCTTTACATTAAACAGTGCCATACCTAGCCACTTAAGCTCAGTACAGAGGCAGCATATTTCACCATAGACTCATGCACAACGAAGGGATCTTACTGATTCTTCTAGTGATGATGCCGTAGGCAAGAAAGATATAGCTAAGAAAAAGATTTGAAAATAAAATACATCCCACAGCCCATCCTGTTTATCTCATTATCCAGGAAAGCTTCAAAGACCCAACATAGCTTCGAGCCTTGCTCTTGATTAACTGACACCCCGTCGAGGAAAAGAAAAAAAAGAACCTGATTCGCAAGACCACGTCACAACCAGCCTGCACAGTTTGAAAACTAAGTATCAAGACTCAGAAAAACTGGAAGAAAACCCAGACCTATTACTGGACCAATACATGCAACGCAAGTTAGCTACGCTCCAGCCAACTCGGCCACCAGCACACGGTTACCAGCCGATATCCCAAAACGCGTTTCCTCCTCTTGGACCAAACAGTAGCAAAGGGCACCGCAGCAGCAAAGGACACTAGCCCAAGGGCACCACTCAGCAGCAATTCGAACGCGTGCATCCAAGTCCCTGAAAAGCAAGTGGGCCTCCAACACAACAGATATGCAAACGGGAACAAAGTAAAAAAAAAAAAAGACATTAATGCCCATCAACAGAAACATATTTTTCTTTGGCAAATAACACCCATTAGCAACTCCAAAGAGAACAATCCCCACTCTTCAGCTCTGAAGGAGTATGTGGGTTTTTTTAGCAGATACAATGTGAAGATTTTACAGAATTCAAGCATTCAACAGGACTAATGTGAAAGATTATTTTGCAATTATCCAAGTAATTTTCTCTCCTCATTGTCCCTGGACCATAAGAGTTTTTAAATGCGAGCAGAAGGATTTATTCATCACAATAATAATACAAGGAAATATTAAATCAATGAATCTCTTTGCATGAAGCATAAAGCTCACATTGCTATTAAGCTTTGTAGCGTCCTGTCACATAAACCACACGCGGTTTGCGTACTTAAATGCTATCTTCCTCTTCTGTTTTTCCCGGTCCTAATTTGTAAAGTATTAGCCTTTCATTTGTCCTCTAAACATGCCTGGATTCAAACACCGCAGTGTTGCTTCTTGTTAGTGGCTTCATGCCTGCACTCTCTTTACGAGGGCACTTGGCAAGTTATATTTTATATTGATTGTCAGCAACGCCCAAGGGAGAAAGTTATGCTGAGATGACAGAAGTCCTGAGATTCAAAAAGAAAAAAAAAAAAAGAACAAAAAAAGTAGTGGAAGAAAATGACCTCATAGGATGGGAGAATTAGCTCCTTTTAAAAGCAGCATTCCCTCTCTCCCCTGCTTTCTCCTGGCACAGCATGGCTTCGGCATGTTGCTCTTTTGTTTTTATAAAAGATTCATCAGGTGAAGTGCAGAAACAGCCACTACTTAGGTATTTATAAGGTGCCAACCATCCTTACAGCGTGACACTGAACAAAGAGCCTAAGCGAAGATTTGTAATACAGAGAGTCGATAGCTCTATGCCCCAAGATTCACGGTAAGCTCCAAATATACAATTATTTTTTCATGGGTGCTAAACACCCGGCACCTGTAAAGATCCCGTGTTTTTACCATTTAGACTCTCCCCAATAGCTCTTGTATTTCCTAACCCTAAGGTCACAGAATGAATTTTGTCACGGTAGCAACTCATCTCACCTAAGCTCACGCATCTGGAGCGATGTCGTCTACCTCTGAACTAGTCAGCAGCCTCCCTTTAAAGTCGGTGGAGAGAAACAGGTGTTTTCTGAATATAATTCAAGGCATTCTCATGTAAACACCTAAAATGGGTCGGATGAGTCACACCTTTAATCTCTCTGTTTCTCCCTGCTGATAAAGAGTCCAGATCAGGTATACACATCTACAGTCATGTGGGATGAAGGCGGTCTTAGATGTCTAAGCTGAGCTGACATGCTACAGAACAATTACAGCCAACCTCAATACACAGACCTCCCCCTGCAGAAGTCAGGCGATAGTATCCACATCTTTCTTACCATGATTGGGACACCAATGTCTGGCCATAAGAGATCCTCAGAGGGAAGCTTGGGAGAGTTCCACACTACCACCACTTTATTTAAGTAGGGGAGACCGTTGAGCCTCTCCAGGGAGTTCATCAGCACTTCCTCCCGCTCGTAAGTTAACATCACTACTGTGAACTGCTCCCGTGGGACATTTCCACCCAAAGCAGCCTGGAACTCCTTCCCAGAACCACCTGCTCCTCCACCAATTGGTCGAAATCCAGTCCCGGACCCCAAAAATTTTGCTTCTGATGGTAAAACGGGATCGAAGGGAGTATAGGGGAAGAGGTGGAAAGGTCCCGGAGCTGAATTCCAATTCCTGTAGATGTCCATTGCAGTGAGGGTGAAGTTGCGGAGATATTTGGGAGATGCATAGGGTGGTTCTGTTTCCACAGGCCCCAAGTCCAGGTCACCATTGTCTGCCATATTGGGGTCCGTACCAGCAGCTTTGCCAGATCGGTGTGGAATCTCCACAGCAGCTTCTTCTCGGATAGGAGCAGCTGGGATTTGGATTCGAGTCCTTATGATAGCTAAGAGTGTGCTGAACACATTGTCGGAGGTGGAGAAGTAGGTCTCCCATAAGAAGCGGCCTTGCCTCCTCATGGCAAGGAGATCGTTGTCAGAAATGCTTCTCAGAAGAAAGTGCACTTCTGTGATACGTGGCTTTGGTATGATTAAGGCTGCCTCGTTCCACCGGATCACATCATTGTAGGGTAGCTGAACTTGCTCTCCAAGAACCACTGGGATGGCTCCAACTTCCAGAGCCTCAAACAGTCTCATGGCACACCCAGCGGAGATCACTAGATGGGTGTCCCCTGGGGTGATTATCAGTGCAAAAGTAGATAGCTTCAGTAGCTCTAGTCTGTCATCCCTTTCTCCACACAGAGCCCACTCAGTGGGCAGACTTGCCTTAGGCTGGTTCTTACACGTGAACTCCACCAAAACAAAGTCCAACTTGCTGTCCTGAACAGCCTTCAAGGTGGTAATGATCCGATCGTCATAGTCAGCTGGGGCATTGCCTTCTATTTCCTCTTCAAAAGAGCGAACCTCTTGCAAGCTAGATCTGAGAGACTCTATCTTCTCCCCCTGGAAACTGAATAGATATTTACGCTTGACTGGCACCTGGGGTGGGATTTCTAGGAAGTTGGGTTCTGACATTGCATGGACCAGAGGTGATACCACAATATCAAATCCTGGTCGATACTGCACATCGTAAAAGGTGGACTGGGCAATCATGGCACGCCCTGTGCTGATGTTGTAAATAAAATTCTGAGTTTCCGATTTCCTCGATAAATTGATGATGAGATGGTTATGTCCATCAGTCCTCCAATATGGCAAAGAGTGCAACTGTTGCTCTAGTTCAGTAGGTTTTGGCATTATGGGCTCCTGCATTTCCCCCACTAAAATTACATACACGCAAGCAATATTTGCATTTTCAGTAACATAAACATTAGTTCTGACAGTCGCCTCAAAGGCTTGTTTAATTAAAGGGTCTAAGGAACTACCAAAAGGGTAATCATCACTGTTGTAGACATAGACTGGAAAGCCAGACGTCAACGGGCATCGTGAGTAGTCAAAGCAATTGTGTAGCCTGCAGTTCCGGTTGGATTTTGGCAAAGGGAAGGTTGCATCGTCTTTCTCTGGCAGGAGCCGGATTGGCAAGGAGAGCTTTGGCTGGTTCTGGGCCATCAGTTCTTTGTAGGAATGCTCCGTCTGGCTGATGACGTTCTTCAGCTGCAGCAGGTCCTGCTTGGCATTTTCAATGCTCTTTTTGCACGCCTCGATCTTCAAGTTCAGCTTGGCAATCTCACTGTTGAGCTCCTGCCGCTTGGCCTCCAGCTGGAGCAGCTCCTCGCTGACCGACTCACGGATGCGGCACAGGTCTTGCACATGCTTCACCTCGCACAGCTCGTTGCCAGTTCGAGGACCAAAGATGCGCTTGCCAGCGTCATCTGCATCATCGATGGTGGTTAGGTAGTAGTGGGCAATGAGGGGAAAGAAGACAAGGATAATAAAGAGGGTGAAACTAAGCCAGGTGAGCCGGATCCGACTGGACCATCTCAGCACCCACGGCTGGCCTCCATTCCCCACTCCCCCATTCCGCAACATCGTATATCCAGTCATGAGTTCAAGAGTCGGTGCGCACCCAATCACGTTGGATCAGTAGCCATAACCAAAAGAGTTCTTATAGCGAGTCTCTAGAAAGAAATGTTATTGTGCCTGCTTATCGAGCAGCCAATAGAATGGAAATTTCATCTTCCTGTCCTTACGACGGCTTTGCGACAGTCTTTGTGTTGCCACTGCAACTTTTGATCCAGTTCGAATCAATCATGGAACTTCTCACCACCCCCAGCCCAGCCTTGATCTGCGGGTAGCTGTTGCAAGAAGTGTCACAGCGTTGTCATGGTGATATAAAGTCTCAACCGACACAGGAGAAACACAATGGGATCAAGCCAAACTCTACCGCTGCTCTCGACATCCCGCATTACCATCCGATGAATATGCAGAGGCAACAGCCATGGTGGAAAACGAGCCAGGAGAGACTCGTGCAAACATCAGTCTCCCGCATCACCGCTGCGCTGCTGATGCTCTGCCATTCCTACAAGAGAAAAATCGTATATTCAGGCAATGCAAGAAAAAATCACCCCTTAGCATCCTAAGGCTGCTAGTTTTTTAAAAGTAACTGTCCTTTTTACCAAAGAGCAACACTTGTACACGTCTAACACCTCCTGGGTCAGTATCGGTAAACCCGAGAAAGCAATGGGATTCATTAGACACGGCCACACAGCTTTCTCTGGACACTTCTGCTTTTCATCAATGTTATACGCTTCAGTGGCTAGACTAGAAAATAGCAGCCCGTGGATCTGGTTCCCTATTGCTGCCGCTGTCTCGCCGTGAAACTTGGGACAAGCTGCTTAACATGTGCATGCCCCTCTCTCCCCCTGCCCAAAACAGAGACAGGAATGTACACCTGCTTTCTTTACGCGCCTTTCCGCAGCGCGTTGTGACCCTGGGACACAGCAGAGCTGCAAATTTCAGCCGCGTGTCTGAGTGTAATCACTATTGTTCCGGTCCAGCGACTAGAGCTGATGAGCAATTTTTAGACAAAGTGTTTTGCTTTCATTTCCTGCTGGAAAATCTTGATTCGCTGCAACAAAAAGTCGCAAGGGGACGCACCCGTGGCGGCTACAATTACCCCAGCAGGCTGCTTGTACGCAAGATGGGTTTTCTGGCCGCAACTGGAGAAAGGGGACTCCTCTAAACTGGGATGCTGGAGTTAGTATCTGCGCGGTACCGCACCACGCGAGCGGCATCAGCTTGCTTAGATATGCTTTTCACTCGGAAAACCCTGCTGCTGCACTGAGTTAATAGATAGCTGGTAGCACGGGCATAAAAATCAAGGACACGGCAAATTTAGCTTTGACTCTGTGCTCTATGCCAACAGACTAGAGATCTGAATCTAGGCCAGATGGGTATGTTGGCCACCAGAACAGTCTCCCTCCCCTTTATCAACCTCCTTCGAGGTACTTAAGTTTCTGCGATATCTGCTCAGCTGGGCTTAGTATCAACTCTTACCCAGCCGCATGAGGAGCGTGACCTGACGGTGATTTCCTCTTCAATTTTTAATTAGGGAGTCATCTGTACCGGTGACAGCCATCTTTTCACTAAATCTATTTAACGCTTCTCTCATCTGCTCATGCAGAATTAGCAGAAAGATGGTAAGGAAGCGAATCGCAGCGAAACCAGAGAAAACTGGCCAAAGCAAACCAGAAATTCACTTTAAAGGAGCAGAGAGAAGTCAGGAACAATTTTCAGCGTAGTATACAAGGGCGTGTCAGAAAATAAACAGAAGATTCAATTTTAACCAGGAAAAACACAATTAAAGGGGAAACAACAAGTGCACTAATAGCCCAGTCAGTCCTAGGCCTATTTCATTACAGGGCCTTTTGTTGTTGGCAAATTAATGCCCCATGATTAAATGGGAATCAGCCCCCAGCCTGACCCACAGCCGAGGAGCAGCACAGCAGTACAAAAACCAAAAATTAAGGCACGTTGTAAATTCATAACGCTGCCTGGCAAACAGCACTGGCGTAAATCTCAGAAAACAGGGAGGATAAAGGGGCTAAAAGGTCAGGAGAAGGCTAAATCAGCTTTCTCAGATCTCGGTAGCTCATGTGGGCAGATGAGGGGGGCCGCGACTCTCCTGGCCGAACGTTTTAATGGTATTCACTGTACACCAGCTTTCACGTGCCCGGGCTGCAAGAGGCGGGCGACGAATGCAAATCCCCGGCTCCTGGGCACGAGGCTGACAGTCGGGCACGGGGAGCCTCGGTGCTAACGGCATCCTTGCATCGTGCCTCTGGGACTGTGGCCACCAGACCAGAAGGGTTTCAGCAGGCACCAGCGCACAAAGCAGCCGATTGACTGCAGGCAAACAAAAAAAAAATTTTTTCTCAAAGTCTTTTTTCTTCTTCTTCTTTTTTAAGGTCTCCCCAGGAAATAAAATCCATGCTGCCTCTGTCTGCACACAAGCCAGCCGGTCAGTCCCTGCAATTTTGACCTTGTCTCGTAGGGGGTGCAAAGAGCCCAGAATTGCCACCAGGTTTCTGCAAACAGCTAGTGAGATGAGAGTCGCTCTGTTAATGCTTTTCCTGGAGGAAATGTCAAAGCACACCCTCACTCAAACATAGATGAATCTGAAAACGGCTTAATTTCAAGACACGCATGGGAAAACAAGCTCTGCTTGTTTTTCGGGGGTGCCATGGGGTAAATGTGGTCAAATATTGCAAGGTGCTGAGCCAACATGGTAGTAACAAGAGATCAAAAACAGGCCAAGAAAGGAAAAGGAAGTGCATGCACACGGGCTGCTTCTCACTGACCTGAGAAAACTGCTTATCCTGCATCTAAATCTTGTTCCACGTTAACTGCTTTACCCATCTGCAAGCCCAAAACAGTGCTGAAAAGGCAAAGTGGCCTCCCTAAAATGGCAACGGGGGTCCTTGAAAGGCTAAATCCAGGCTATCACCCTGCACGTGATCTTCTGCAGCTGCTCTGCCATCTAAGCCTTCCAGGGGCTCCTCCGGTCCTTCCACTTCAGTTGATACAGGACAAACTTTATCCTCTCGACTTAAAACTGTGGGCCATGAATTTAAAAAATCTATATGCTCAGAAACCTGAGGCTGACAAACTAGTCCTGCTGCTAGCTTGGAAGCGACCACACAGGACCCAGCAGAGGCTGGGGAGGGATTGGACATGCACCACGCATGGCTTGCGATCAGTTAAAAGTATCGACTGTCAGGATGAAATATGTGCTGGTGATAAAGAAAGCACTTTAGACACATTTCCAGACTCTTCTTCGTTACTAGGACTTTATTCTTCATCAACTAGATAGAGCCTGCGGTTCTAAACACGTTGTTATTAGGACTTTAAAAAAAAAAAAAAAGCAAAACCTCTCAAACTGCAGTTTTACCAGGAGGGCCCTCAGTGTACTATTTAAGAGCAATAAGCAGCCCTGGGGTAAATTGCTGCTGATTTCCATAGTTACCAAAAAGAAATGTGAAAGGAGGACGGATGCGTCAGTTGCTGGGCTGTCCGGCCAACCCATTCGTCCCACTCCTAAGCGCTACCTAGTCCTTAAACCCAACAGAGCCCCACACAGAGAAACGTTTGCTGACGTTATAACACAATGTTGCTGCCTGCTAGATCTAATTACACATCAAAAGAGAGGCAGGAGAAGCTCTTGGGAAATTAGAAGCTTAATAATTACCACCGCTTCTTCCCAAATGCCAGTCTGATCGACTTCTTTGGCAGGACAGGTTTGCAAAGCGCAGTTTTCCTCCCGCAGCACAGGGCTACGAGACTAAACTGCTGTTCAGGCACAGTGCCACATTGGAGTTCAAATCCAGGGATGTTTTCCTAGACTTCCCTACCTCCGCAGTAAGTGCTAGGGACGTTACGGGCATAGCTGAGCTTCTCCCTCGTTTTGCATTTCTAGTTGAAAGAGCCAGGCTGGTCTGACATGGGGATGCTCGGGAGGCTGTTGCCACCACGGATCTGCAACCGCTGTCACCCCAGTCCTTCTAACCTGTCCTCTTGCTCCTGCCTCGCCAACCGACAGGTCTGCACTGCTATTTTCGCAATGCTGTCATCACAAAAGCGCCTAATTTTCCACTCTTCTGGCTGTTGCGGGGAGGATGACCCAAAATACCCACCTGGGTCACGCAGGCTCTCTCCTGATGAACGCCAAAGGCTGTCAGGAAGTGTGTTAGTGGCTCCTTTGCTTTATCCGTCCCGTCTTGAATAGACAGTTCCTATTGCCAAGTCTATTTTTCACCAGCACTAAAAATAAAATCACATACAAATCACCTTTAAAAAAAAAATAACAAAAAGTGAAAACCTTTGTGTTTTGGCTAAATAAAATATAACATTTTCCCCCCGTTCCTTAATGCCAATGAGGAACGGTGTTTTTAAGTGAAACAGAAGAGAAATGAACACAAAATAGCCCTTCAGCAATGGTAACTTCCTCCATCCTAATGTTCCCAAAGAAAAGGATTACATCCCAAATCTCTGATCATTTTGGGAACAGGAGCACGTGGAGGATTTTCTCTTTGCAGTTGAACAGGCAGAATAAATCTATTAGGTGCATGCTTTAAGGTATGGTTGAGAGCAGATCTTTAAAAGAGCCAGATGAAAAATTCACCCTGAAATGCTTTGTGTGCTACAGCCTTCAGGAACATTGCTGGGGATTTGCACCCTCTCGAGAGCTTGCAGGTACTTAGAAATACTCCCAGGCTAAGAACAACGCCACTACAGAATCACCCAGAATCGTTTAGGTTGGAAGGGACCTCTGGAGATCATCTAGTCCAACCCCCCTGCTCAACCTGGGTCACCTAGAGCATATTGCCCAGGATCACATCCAGACGGCTTTTGACTGTCTCCAGGGAAGGAGACTCCACTACCTCTCTGGGCAACCTGTTCCAGTGCTCTGTCACCCTCACAGTGAAGAAGTTTTTTCTCAGGTTCAGACGGAACTTCCTGCGGTTCCGTTTCTGCCCATTGCCTCTTGTCCTGTTGCTGGGCACCACGGAGAAGAGGCT